CTCTGTTTCTGTGCATTAATGGTTTTGTAATCCTTGCATTTCTAGTTGCAGCCTATGTTTTTCTTCTTAATTTAGCAGGTTTTGGGCAAAGTACCTGTCTCTCAGATTAGCTGAAACTTTTGTAACTCTTTTTCCTTTAAGTTTTGCCTTCCCCAGTTACCCTCCCCCAGACCTGTACAGACACTTAGTACATCAGTTGCAGAATCATGGAGAAATAGATAATTGAATATTCACACATGCAGAAACAACACAGGCAGAATGTGGAACAATGTGGAAACAAGCGCGAAAAGAGGCGGCATCTGTTTATTGAAAATTAGAATGTAGAATAAATTAAGAGGGCAAGGTTAAAACACTTCATCTGCAGGCAGAGTTTGTAGGGGAGGAAGACTTTGCAGGAAGTTTAGCACATAGACCATATAAAGGGCTTATGCAGTTTTATTTTTGCAAAATGGATTTCCCTCACCCCCCCCCCCCCCCAAGGACATGTTACAAAGGGATAAAAAATGTCCACATAAAGAATGGTTTTCCAATAGAGATGATTATATATAGCTGTTTCACAGTAATGCTGGAATTAAAATGCTGAAAATGTTAATGTTGCAGTGCTTCAAGTACTGAAGAACAGAGTAAGTATTTTTAGCAATACCCTCAATTCATGAAAGTGAATGCTGTGCTGATTTTTCCACCAGTGCCTATGCAGGTCATCCTGGGCCTTTCTAGAACAAATAAGAAATTTAAGCTTGCATTTTTAATGCCTGTTTTGGTGCCATTCTACAAGGAGGAGGGTAGATTCAGGATGGTGTTTGATGGACTGAGAAATGCAGTGGATTTGGTTGTGACGTGCAATTACTCTGCTGGCATTTCCAAAGGCCTGTAAAGATACCACATCTATGAATATAGGGTCTGAGTTTTTACAATTTTTTTTGTTGTTCTGTACATACCTTCACACTTTATACATTAAGCCTGCAAAAGGTATACCATTTAAAAGCTGCTCAAGTAGGCAAAAGCCATATCCTAGTCATTCATCATAAAACAAGCTTAATTATGCTAGGACATATTGACACTGCATCAGATTTTTAATCTTCAACATAATTTTATAACCATTGCTAACAGATGGGCTGATTACACCGAATTTGAGCTTTAAGTAATAGTTAGAATTTCTAAAATATGATTAAACTGGAAATACCCATTGCATACATAATTTTCAAAAGCTACTGAAAGAGGAGAACCAGAGCACAATAAAACCTCTTTTCTGTTTCCTGAGGGAAATGCGTTGCATTTAAGTGGACAGTTATCAGAGTTCCTTAAATGGCCAAGTAGTGTATGCTATTGGCAGCTCCTCTTCTGTGCAATTACAACAGATATGCAGAACCTTATTCTTTCTATAGGTCTGCTGCTCTTATTCCAGCATAAAAGGTGTGAATTTTTCTATTTCAGAAGCTATTTTATTGAAACAAGTGCCTTCTCCCTATTTTTTTTGTCATTGAAAATGAAAGCAAGGAGTAACTTAAATTACCGTGTTTCTGCTCTTTAATAACAATAACAAATGAGAAATTCTTATAAAATAGAGGTACAACTTTGTGGGACTAATGGAAGTTGCATGTGAATTCTGAATAGAAAGTGTCTTTTTTTTAATGTTATCATCATGAGGTTACTAAAGGGAAGATAAGCCAGACTTCTCTCTGTCTGCCATTGTTCATAATAGGCTGGACATCTGTTTCATAGCACAAGGATGATAATGGGTCAGAGGTGATTGGTATCCTGAATTCTGGAATAGGAAAAATATAAAAATGAAATACTGTCTATTCAGATCTCAGTTCTATACATTGCAGAAAGAAAAGGGTTGTAGTAGTCCTCTTACATCCTGGAATAGTCCTCTGGCCAACGAGATCGGGATAGAAACTGCTCACAAGGCTCATGCCCACTGTCCTTCAGACAGGTCTCCCGTCAGCATTATTAGCATTTCTAAATGAAGGGGGGCACTGGTCACAGACCATGCACCAGGCTTGCGGGAAAGAAAGCTTACTGAAATTAAATATTCTGTTAAAACTCCACTGACAAAAGTGATCCCATAGTTATCAGTAATTGATTAAGATTTCTGCTAATTTTGGCAGGGGTAGAGTTAGTTAATGTTTTTCACAGTGGCTGGTATGGAGCTGTGTTTTGGATTGGTGCTGAACACAGGGTTGATAATATAGAGATGTTTTTGTTACTGTTGAGTACGGCTTACACAGAGCCAAGGCTTTTCCTGCTTCTTGTACTGCCACTCTGGTGAGGAGACTGGCAATGCTTGGGAGGAGGCACAGCTGGGACAGATACCCCAATTGACCAGAGGGATATTCCATACCATATGACATCATGCTCAGTATATAAAGTAGGGGGAAGAAGAGGGGGACATTTGGAGTGATGGCATTTCTCTTCCCAAGTAACTGTTACATGTGATGGGGCCCTGCTGTCCTGGAGATAGCTGAACACCTGCCTGCCCCTGGGAAGGACTGAATTAATTTCTTTTTTCACTCTGCTGTTGTGCACAGCTTCTGCTTTCCCTATTAAACACTCTTATCTCAGCCCATCAGTTTTCTACCTTTTACCCTTTCAATTCTCTCCCCAGTCCCAATGGTGGGGGAGCGAGCGAGTGACTGCATGGTGCTTGGCTGCTGGTTAAACCACAACATTCAGAATGGCTTAATGCCACTCACTTTTCATTATGTAGAGGGGTTTGAATGCTGAAATTTCTCTGAACTGGGTACTCTAGCTACAACTTTATTTTCAGCATGTTTTCTCCATCAGTTGCAGAATTTACGACTGCAGTAAATGTCTGTCCTTGCAAGCAGTGTTACTTTTAGACAACATACTGTGAGAGACCCTTTCCTTCCAAAAAGTAAAATGCTGCCCTAGTGCTACAAAAATGCAGGCCAAAGGAAGAGCCTATAAAAGCAGAGATCAGGATGTCATTTATGGTGATGCTTCAGACCGAAATTGTGGCAATATAAAGCTGTCTGGAGTGGTGACCTCTTAGTACAGTCAGCCCGCTCACCTGCAGTGCGTGGCTTTGGCACGTCAGATCTGACTTTAACTCAGACCAATGCAGTCTCTAACACACTGTCTTGCACCCAGCAGTGGTTTGCCTTCCAGCCCTTTGCTAATACTGAATGCTTCTGTGAGACAGCAGGTTGATGGTCAGCACTGCCTTCTGCAGCAGCATCTGTGGGCAGGTGCCGGCTGGAAAGAAGAGAAAGAAGGAAAGACCCCAGTAGGGTTGTTAGGAATGGTGTTGCTCCAAGCCTGTGAGAGGACACAGCAGCCTGAATGAGCTGGGTAAAAGAAGAACTGCAGCAATGTCCATCTGTCCAAATGTAGTTAGATGGGTAATGTTTGAATATTTAAGCAAATACATCAACAAGATCTGTCAATCATAGAAGGGTTCGTGTTGGAAGGGTCCTTTAAAGGTCATCTAGTCCAACCCCCTGCAATAAGCAGGGGCATCTTCAATTGGATTGGGCTGCTTAGAGTCTCATGCAACCTGACCTTCAGTGTTTCCAGGGATGGGGCATCTACTACCTCTCTGGAAAACCTATTCCAGTGTTTCACCACTCTCATCATAAAAAATTTCCTCCTTATAACCAGTCTGAATCTACCCTCTTTTAGTTTTTAAATCAAACTGTTCTTATGTAATTATTACAGAAAGGTTTAATTTAAATAATGTTCATTGTCTTAAGCATCTTTTATACAGACAGCATATATATGTTAGATAACATATATTATGTTAGACATATATATTATGTCTAACAAGACATAATATATAATTTCATTTTCAGGGTTTTTTTTTCTATACTGTACTTAAAATCAGGATTTTCTTCTTTCCTCCTAATTGGTTTTGGATTGTTGTTTTGGTGTATGCTTGGTAAGTCAGCCTAGCCTAGCACTTTGCAAGCCTTCCTCTCATTAATATTATCAGAACTATCAGTCATATCTGCAAATGTCCGTACCAAATAAATAGACCAAACCAGATTGCCCATTTTTGGCAGTGGTTGATGAATATGATGCAAAATGCAGTATTTCTGCTCACATTAACTTTGTGACAGAGAAGAATGATAATTTCCAAACTGTTTAAATTAGTTTCTCATGCACCAGGAGCTCCTGTGCATTTACATAAAGTCCTGTCGCTTTTTCAGAAACTTCCAACCATTAGAGAGAGCATTAAATATGTCTTTAACAACCTACTAAACACATCATTAAATGCTTTGTTGTAATATCTGCTCCATCCTTTAAAAGTCACAGTTTTTACTTTTAGGAAGTCATACTACAGTAAGGCATTCGTTCTATAATCTACTGGGTGGTAGGACTCAAATCCAAAGACATCTCAATCTCTCTTGAGAGGGGGGGTATTCTTTTTTTTTTTTTTTTAAGAAAAAAGCATTTTAGCAGCACAGTCCTCCTGAGATGAATAAAACTCCTCCCAGGTAGAGAAGCTTACAAGAAGCTACAATGCAAATTCAATAAGTCACTTTCATAATGAAAAGAACCTCTATGTTCTGCACTGTTAAGTAGCCTAAAGAGGCTTTTAGTTACTGCATTATCTGAAGTACCGATAGCCGATTTAGGCGAGAAGATTATCTAGTTCAACTTGATAAGATTACTGTGACGAAAGAGGAGCTGTTCTGAACAAGATTTTAGGGATTTTTGTGGAGCTATTAGACACAAAAATAATCTTGCCTTCCCATTAACACTGTAAAGTTAAAATGTGAATAACTTTAAAAGTAAGAGCCTGTTCACCGGTGTTGCCATTAAGGGCAGACTTACCACTCCCAAAGTCCAGTAAGTAGTTTCAGAAATAGTGATTATCGAGGGAAGTGAAAAATATGGATACCACAGCCATTAATAAAAGTTCCCTGAGAACTTTAGGAAAAGAAAATACAGAAAAAGTTACAGAGCTAGATCCATCCTGGAAAAATCCATAACATGGCAAAATATTTGAAAAATCCAACTTTTCAGGCAAACAGGAATAATGATTAGCCTATGATCAAATGATGATTATTTCCATTAGAAGTTTATTCTCTCTTCTTTTTCCCTCACACTTAGCCTAACTTAAGTGGATAATTAACAGTGTCACGGCTAATGAAAAGATCATAGGATCCCTGGAAATTATGGGTTAATTTTAAGAACATATCATTGAAAAGGGAGAGAACGGGAAATGTGAACCTATCTTTTCTTATATTACCCACAAAGACAACAGAGAGATTTTACACTGGAATCTGAAAGACTTTAATGTTTTAATACAGGTGGAAGATTAGGGCAACTATTTACATTCTGTGCAACATAAACACAAGATCTCTCTTAACAACACCAGCTCCATCATACTGGCACAACTCCTAGTGAATACAATGCATTCAACAAGTTCTGTACTAGAGAGCATAGGTTTTTCTTATTTTGCTAAAATAATAAATTAGAAAGTACAAAGTTAAGTTTTTCTTATGGACAGACTGAATAAGATTTTCAAAAGTACACTGTTAAGAGGGACAGGCCTCAATGTGAACTGAGTTGTGAAATTAATTCTTTCAAATCCTGTCTTGTATGTTGCAATACAGGCTCTGTTCATATAGACATTTAAATATGTAATAAATTACTGTATCTTTCATTTGCCATCCATCAGTATACTGAGTTAATCTTCAGATGCATGACAATATTAAATACCACCAAAATTTTTAAAATTAATACATAAATTGGGGGAAAAAAAAAACACAAAAGTGATAAATGTCTTTCCATTGTAAGATAAAAAACTTGTCTGCTGTGTTGTATAGTTTTAGGTACTGACAGTGTCACAACATCCGAGAGGAAAGAATTAATCACTAGCACACTGCTAATCTGTCTCATTTTCCAGTTTTTGTATCTCATTTTGTCCAGCCTCTGCGAGGTAAGATAAGAGTCTTTTATAGGCTTCTCTGTTGAGAAAAACAAAACAAAACAATGTAACGTTATTTAAACAATCTCACACAAACTAAGAGTAAAAGCACATAATTCCCAAATTCATTGCTTACATACTGGGATATTAAAACATGGGAACTTCCCCCCACCTATTCAACTGTTTTGTTTCCTGTGAATTTTTTAGTATGGCCAGATTGGAAGAAGGATAAGGATTGCACTGTTTATGACTAAAAGTGTAGTGAAGATGCCTAGAAATCTACTTGTTTAATAAACTGCTGTGAAATAGAAATTCTTCATTTTAAAACATGGAGTTTTCCAAGGCTTAGATGAGATTAGCATTCAGACTTCATCACGTTTGCTCTCTCCTTTCTGTCTATGAAATTTCTGATTCACAGCACAGCAATGTGAGCCACTGGCACTACGGTGCAGGCTGGCACTAACACAGATTTAGACCAACATCCTCAACCAAGGACAATGACTGTTTTAAAATAAACCTGGAATTCAGAAGGGAACTGTCACTCAAGTGGATTTTCCAGAAGAGTGCATATGTGTTGATGAGACTTTTCACCCTAGGTTCATTCTAATACTCTCCAACCTAGACAATGTAATTATTGTTAAGGTACTATCTCTGACATTTAGGTATTATTTTCTAATTATGTATTTTTGTCATGAAATATCAACTTGAGCAAACAAAACTGAAGTTTTCATACTAGTTCCTTGCAATAACAACACTGGTCATCACCACTATAAGCAATGCAGCTTCTGAACTTCGCTTTTATTTATGTATACCCGTGTTTGCACTTCCATGTCTACAGTAACTGCACAGAATAAATTAATATAATGTTATTTAGTGGCCAGGACTGAAAAGAGAAAATCAAGTATTAGTCTTCTTACAATAAAATGCTCATGGATCACCTCAGACTGTTGGGTAATGAAGCATATTATAAATACAAATTATTAATACAAAACATCGACAGCAGATTAGATAATATACAGTTTTAAGTGATGAGGCTAAAAGAAATGTAATCAGTAATCTCCAAGCATATATTTTAGTGAGCTCAAACAACCTGCTTTCCTTCAGTATTTTATAGATTGTGGGATGAATTTTACTATAATAACAGTATTTAATAAGAACAAAAAAATTGGTTATGAAATACATTATCAAAATATGAAAAGCAGATAGTATGGAAATCCTGCTGACATGGTACATCCAGCTGACTCTGGCTGAATTCTCTTAAATAAAATCAAATGTATTTGTTGGTAGTGGATAATAAAAAGTGAATAATACAATTACAAAGAAGTTAAATATATTTTTCGTTAAATGGAAGATTAAAACCTTGTGATTACCCTTTAATGTCTCATGGTTTACATCTTGCACAGCTCTGTCTTTTGGACTTGTTATAGCCAAGGCCCTGCCAACACACACCTTAAAACTTTCCCAGGGTGAGGTGTCGCTAAGATCCTACCCTTTGACTAGTCCCAGGATGTGCATTAATGTAAACACAGGGACCAGTTCCCAGCCCAGACCACACAGAGAGTCAAGGGCAGCCTTCCAGTGAGCAGTACTAACAGGAGAAGCCCTTTTGGCTCGGGTGTCATACTAGGCAGATAACAGTATTCGTATAGAGGAGCTGAAAGTTCAGTGCTGCATCCACACCCAGACACACCACGCTCTGTGCAGAGCTGCTCCCCTCATGTGCCACTTCCACCAAATGCCAGATGGATTCACAAGTCAAATATTTCTAAGTTCTTGGGGGCAAATGGAGGAAGTATGAGTCTGCTGTGCCTTTTGGAGCCAGCCTCTTCTGGACACCCACAACTCTTCTATGTTTAGATTATGAGAGAACTCCTGAAATTGAGCCATGGGTATTTCTTTTCCAAGCCATCTCAGATCATGAATATACTATAATTTTACATATGACCCATAAAGTCCTCTAAAACAGGGACTGACAGGAAAATTATTTGGGGCAGGAATTCTTTATTTTATTTTGCAACATACGGTTTAGTGAGCAGAGGCAATCTGGCTTCACATAAATTCTGCTGGGGTGTGCAGACCCTAATATCAAAACATCTCTGGAAATATTTAGCACATATAGATGGCTTAAAACCACAAAAGGCTTGAGTTAAGGCAGATTTCTGGCTGAACACCCTTAAAAAATGACTCATTATCTGTGCTGCTGTCGTAAAACTGCTTTTTCTCGAGAGAATAAACCTCTACTGCTCATTGTCAAAAAACAATATTAAATAAAAATCAAACCTCTGTGCAGCATTTCTTCCAAGACCTTGTTTGTACTCCAGATCCTTCAGAGACTGTGTGATTGTGGGAATCAGGCTGGTAACTAACATCTGATCCAAGACTGCCACTGTTTCTAGTATGCTGAAAACCCGGTGATCATAGACAGCGGTATAGTCCTGGATAAACTGCCTGAGGGGGACACAGAGGCATTTAATGCAGGGTCAAAACTGGATGCCAAGAACAACTGAAGAGTCTAATCAAAACAAGCAATCTGGCTGCATGGCAATTTTCATACCGTTACACTAGAATACACTACCTAGAATACCTTGTTTAAACAAAGCCATGCTTTTGAAGCCTAATGCTAAAAATCCCACATGTTTATTTTCAAGCAAAGTGGCAGATTCTGCTCCTGTTTCACCAGGGCTGACTTGTTCCAGAGCACTGCACTTTGTTATGTGTCTGAACGCAAAACTAAAACATGTATTTATTATTTAATAAATAATAGTTGTAAGGAAAAAAAAATGAACAAGAGTTCTAGATTCAAATCTGCAGAAGTAACGTTAGCTTTTCTTGTAAGGCTCCACTGGATCTTTAGCAGGGTAGACCACAGGATGGAAGCACACTTCTTTTCCTTCTTGAGGTCTTACAAGATTGCAGATTACATTCAAATCAGAAGTAACACCCGAGGGATGACACATCCCATGAAGGTGACAAATCACATACGGACTGGCATGCCCACAAACATCCATTCTTACTTTGGAGAGCCTCTCTGGAGCTTTCATCTAGACCTGACCTGATGCAGCAGCAGTGCTTAAGGATTGCAGAATGTCTTCAGCTGTCAGGTCACGCAGCGTTTCTACTGTATCCATGTTGGAAACAGGGTTCATTTTGCGGAAGTGTGGAATAAGCATAATTTGCATTATAATAATCTATCATTGTTGCAAAATCAAATAAAAAAGCTAACCTTGCTATATGAAGATTTAATCTTCATTATATGCACTTTAAATTAGGCACCCGCATCTTTCACAGCACCTAACACTGACGATCAGCATTCCTGAGGAGTTTTACCCATGGCAGCAGCAACATCCCTCCCTACTGTCCATCTTTCAAAACAGTACCTCATCCATGAGAAAGTAGGTATGTTTCCCTCTCCTATTTTTTTCCTCTGGCTTTTTGGCCAAGCTGTGTGTAAAACCAGTGCCAAAAGTGCCATTACTTAAATACCATAAACAAGCAACAATGCAGTATGTTAAGGATAGTTAGCTATTTAAAAAAAACATGTTTGCTGTCAATTGGCTTACAGTAGCTTCGCTGCCAATTGGCATATTTTCTGGTTACCTAAATACAGAAGTCAGCTGGGTGGCGTGTTCTCCTCCTGACCCTGCTTGGCAGCCTTCTACCATGTTCTGTACAATGTCTGTAGATATTTTTTTAACTGTAAAAGAAAAATCACAAGATTCACACAGAGCTCTTGAACTGACCATCTGGAGAATGTCTTTCATGAAGACTAAAATTTTTAAATGAGAAAAAAAGGTTTAATCTTACTTTGATGCAAGTGAAATTACTGTGAAAGCAGTTAGATTGGCTATAAAGAACAGAATGAGTCACAGATTTATGCAAAAGTCTTACTTTCACCACCATTATCCTTTAAACATGCAGATTTTTAAGTACACAATTGTCTTTTTAAGTAAAAGTAAAGAGATACTTACTGGAAATAGAGATTGTATTTAAATGTAAGTTCTGTTTATATTCTTTAATCATTCCTATTTATTTAAAAGAAAGAGAGTCATAGCAGTTTATCCTGCCCTAAGTTATGTAGATCTTGTACTTTCAGTGGTGAATATTGTTCTGAAATCCACCCTTACTTGTTTTTTTAAGGGAAACAAACAAACAATCCTTCACTATTTTCTTAATAATTGTTTTCAAATAAATACTCAATACTTGGCTGCAGCAGCACAAAACTTCCAGCCCACTCTAATCCTCAGGCCATTGCAAGGTGGGTGCTCTCAGCTTCCAGCAGGAATGGCCGTAATGGCAAAAGAGGGAAGAAAGTTGTGTGATGATTCAGCTAATTTACTAAGCACATCTTGTCCTTGAAACTGTTAAAGACCAGAATCAAAAAGTACTTTATTAGAGAAAATTCCCAGGAGAAGTCAGAAGTGAGTCCCAATTTTGCTTAATGCTTCTACTAGCAGCTTATGCACATTCATTATATAATGATAGGGTGAACGGAGTGCTTCATTTTTTAAGAAGCTAAAAATAAAGAAGTTCTTGCTATGAAACAAAGCATGCTAAAAGAAGAAAGAAGACTCAAAGACGCCTTCAGAGAGCAACATGCTACTTTTAATCCATTTATAATACCTCTATGGGGAGAACATACGCCAGTCTTATCTGGTATCAAAGTTTTAGGTGGAAGAAAACTTCCACAGTTGCCAAGTCTAGAGGCAATTAGATGGGAAGGGTAGGGAGATAGGAAATGCTCTTCAGATTCCTGAGAAGTTGATTGGTTCATCAGAGAGCAAAAAGAGAGGAGTCCCAGACCAGCTAATGAGAAAAAAAAAAAAAAAAAAAAAAAAAAAAAAACCTTGTCCAGTTTAGCTGGCCAGATGATCTTACTCACCTCATCTGAGAGTCTTAAACACTGGGATGAAAGATGTTCAGCAGTAAAAACATCCTGCAAGTGTGGAGAAATGTACTTAAAGCAAACAAACAGCTCACCTTGTAGCTCGTTAACCAATACCATGCATTTCAACACAGATGGGAGAACTAATTCAATGTCACACAGTTCAACGCTCTTGGTTCTCTGAAGTACTTCAAGAATGAAAGCAAGAATGGAGGCCAAGCGAGGAGGTGGAGCATTGCCTTTGAACTGCATGTAGTTTTCCCTGAGAAGACAAAGCAAACCAGAACAAAGTCTACAATTTCGGGTTTTTTCCATTCAGTGCAAGCACCATATACCTTAAAATAACTGTAATATTTCAGCAGGAGGCCTATTACATAGATTTCTATCTTTATCTAGGCTCAAATAATGGATTCTATTTGTCTTAGTCTTAGCAACGACTCCCAATTTGTCAGAGGACAGTGATGCCTTCTGACTTTTCTGTTGAGAGGGAAGTGAGAAATAAGAGCTATCATAATTACAGTTAAAAAGCCAAGTGTGACTATAAAAGTTAAAATAAAAAAGGCAGCATCAGAACTGAATAAATGAAGGAGTTGAGATTCTAAGATCCTAAACCAACATCCATAATGTAGCTGTTATTCAACTATGTTATTGAGCTTTTGTGCTTTTGTAAACTCACAATCCAACTTGTGGTAACAGCTCTGCTGTTATACTGGTACTGTTATTTTATTTTTGGCAACAGTATGTTGTAATGGGACAGCCAATGACTGCTTTTGCTCTGACAGAATTAACACAATCATCTCCAGTACAAAATTCTGGCACAAAGATAAAAGGTCAATCTGCAATAGGAGCAAATTTTAACATCACACACAGGGAGTGTTCCAATTCAAACACCTTGATTTGTTATTTCTCCACAAAAGAATACAAGAATACAAACTACTGCCGGTTTGACATCAATTAATTTAATCTGAAGACAGTAAGTTTAAATGGAAGCATTCTGGACAGAGGAGTGCAGGTGAAAAGAACACAGCATTTGTTCATTAGTAAGCAAGAACACTCCAAGAACCTTCAAAAAAAGCTTTTTAGATATTTAATATTAGTTACCATTATCTACTCAAACAAGGCATGCATGTTTACTGAGCAATGCATCAATTAAAAACCCAGCATCCTTGTTAAAACTCAGTAAGGGGTGCTCCTACACCTTTCAAATGGAACCCGACTTTCAGAGCTCTGGGTACTTCGCTGGACAGATTCAGAGCACTGAAGTTATGTGTGTGACTAGGCAAATGAAAGCTGTAACACTTTACTTCTATATATATTTCTTACATTATGTGGTCTTACTTTAATATTAGCAACTCCAAAATCTTCTATCCCATTAAGTACTCTGAAAATTTTCCACAATTTTTTTGAGGTGCCCTTCCACTAAAAGTGGGGTGCTACATTTATTTTAGCTCTCTGACATAAGACACTCCTGATGGTGTCGTTCCATTTCCTCTGTGTGGCAGCAATATATTGACTAGCTTCCATATGGCAAAGTGGCCAGCAAACTCTGTACCTATTTGTTTACAGACCCAGTGACTGCTTCCTGACCACCCAACAGTTTGCAAATCAGCGTTGCTCACTTCTTCCACGTTCTTCCCCGATCCCTAAGGAATGTTTCACATCTTAAAAATCACCAAGTGCCATTACAGCTTTGGAACTTTCTTTCCACTATCAATCTCAATGTTCACACATGCATGCACACATTCAAAAATAACTTAATTAAGGTGACAAAGTTTGAGTATACATAAGTTAAAAACATGTCAGAACCAAGATTGTGAAATCTTAATTCACTCCTCTAATATGTGATAATACAGATTTTACTTACAGGATTGCTTATTATATTTACTCAAGATCAACTCTGAAATTATTTTTTTAATCAATATGTATACACACTCTTTAACAAATAAAAATCCAATTACCTTGGATATAAGCAATCACCTTGCATTCGATGGGGTTTAATTTCTTTCCCAACATGGACAAAAAGCATGAATTGTTCACTGTTCTGCAGCATATAAAAACAAAGCTACAACCTCTCAGCAGCAGGGACACAAGCTTATAGCTGCTGTTGACGTTGTGTTAGTAGTGACAGCACGGTGAACAGGTACTGTCTCCCTGCCTCTATGTCTTCCTCTTCCCACAGCCCCAGTTTTCCCTTTCCCAGTTTTCCCTGGGTAGCTGGCACACCTGTGTATTCCCTGACACCTACAGAGCAATGAGGCCTCCCTATGCACAGGTAACTGTGGCAGCTATAAGCGCTACACCTCTGTGACCCTAAATACAGTCTGAGACACAAACGTATGATGATGTATATTGGAATGTAATTCTTCTAGAAAATTACTTGCTTTTCATGTGACCTCATGCAATAGTTTTTCTTATGGTCTAGAACCTGTATAGTTATTAATGTCTCACAGGTCTTTCCAGTTTCACTCTCCTGATGTACACACACTGTCCTTCCTTTGCTCCCTGCCCAGCAACTCACAGGCTCTTCCTACAGCCACACTATCAGTTGACTGTGAAGAAAACAGAGGCATTCCCTCTCTAATTAGCTATTTGTGAAATGTGAATAAGGGATGTTTTTTACTTCACTAGTCCTTACTTTACGACATGCAAAGTGGTCTTCCGTAGACGGAGCATCTGTGGGGCTGTAATGGAACTGCATAAGGCAGTCAGCATAGGATGCTGTCCAGTACCAAGCACTGTCGGAGAAGAAGGGAGGAATCGTCCAAAATAGTGTCGAATAATGCTCCCAAGGAGTTGATTTAAATAGGCACCCTGTGTTTGAGACTGACAACATATGAAGGACAGGCCCTGTAGAAGAAAATTATAGAAAGTGAGAAACTGAATAAATTTTTAACAATACTTTTGAATAAATCTTTAGCAACTGTAGGCTAAATACTCATAAAATGCTGCACGCAGAATAACTACTGCCTGTCAAATAAGCATCAGTAATTTGCTGTAGATATGATGGCCTGCAAATGAAGAAGTCAGGCAAGGCTTGCAAAAGAGAGAAAAAACCTTTTACTAGACTAATTAATATATTGGAAGATAAACTTTGGGACATGTTAGTTCCCTTTCAAATTCAAAATAAAACTTTGGCATTTCAGACCTGAGAAAGTTTCTGTGACCAAAAGCTCCTTATTTCTTTTTCAACCCTCTCTGTGGTCTAACAAAGTATATTAGTCAGGTAAGATTTAAGAAGGGAGAGAAAGAATAAATACCTCACCTGTTTGTAAAGGACAGTGTGAAATTCTTGTATGAATGATTTAGCAGAAAAATGAGCACTTAGAATCGAGCTCCAACAAGAAATTTGCTCAGAGTCTGAAAAAATTAGCGTAAATTAGGCACCGTTTATAAGGGATTTAGAGGGAGTATTAAACTCTGTTTAAGATAAGGCTAAACTGCTGTTATTCATCCAATATAAGCTATATTGATCCAGAGAAAAATCTGTAATGAAAGCACTTGCCCAGAAAGTGCTTATCTGAACACTACCTGTAGTTACACAAAATATACATGGTCCATCCTTGAAGAAAAGAGTAATACTCTTACTGGTAGGGGTTGCCATAATAGGAAGTTAAGATTTTGTTCCCTTCCCCCTGATTCCTGAGAGAAAGAAGAACAAATCACTAAGAAAAAAATAAACTCCCCTGATCTCCCATCTCAAGGGTCACAGTCAGCAGCACAAACAGAAGCCTCTTGAGAACAGTTTTGTCCAACAAGAATAATGGTGTAAAACAAGGTCAAGCACAACAGTACTTCAAGCTTCTGTTAGACTCCAGTTTTGGTAGAAGAAGTATCTGCCTGAATTTTATGGTTGCTGAGGTAAATTAATACTCCCTAATATAGGAGTGAACAGTTCAAGTCAAACTGCTTTTGTTCCCAGCTACTGACAATGAGTATTTCTGTTGCTTTTTGAATAGGAGTCCTTTCCCAAAAACATTTTCATCTATACCTGTCTGTGTGAATGTGACAGAACAAGTGTTTCAGGAAAAAGCAGGCTGAGACATAGCTGAGGGTCCTGAAATGAGGAGTTCCCACTTTTGGTTCCACAGCAAACAAATACAGGAAACATGAGATTTCAAAAATGAGCCGTTTCACTACCTGCCTGAAGACTTGCTGTAGGTGGCTCTGTTGAACACAGATTTGTTGCGTTAAGGGTTTAACTTCACATACTTCTAGGGCTCCTTGGTAATTTTAGCAAGCCTCTGTGATAAAAAAAACACAGTTCCTCAACTGAGGCTTTGATTAAAAGTTCAGATTCTCTCCTCCTTTTGCGTACATAGTGCAAAATTTTGTAGGAAAAAGCAGCTGCTGCTGTATCAGAATTCTTGAAAACAAGAAGTCTGCTGCTTCTTGGCAAGTAGCAGACCCAAAGAGAGACTGTTACAGATGACAGGCTATTTAGTGTGTAAGCTTGAGGGATTGATGTTTTCAATACGATATTGCAGCAGGCATAAAGAAGAGTTGCCTGTGTTTCTGTAGTACAGCTCATACAGAAAGAATGTATTCCATAATCCAAATATCAGAACTGGCACTCTTAAGATTCTAGACTTTTAACACTAAAAATCCCCAAACATCTGTGACAAAGTGTATTAATTTATCTGATAAAAGGGACACAAAGAATATCACAATCTTACACAGGATATCTGCAGGAATACATGAAGAACACAGCACCTGTGAAGAACTGTGAAAAACTAACAGTAGTTACTAAAATGAGACTTCTTCAAATTGAAGATCAACAAATGCTACACAGTATCAAGAAAAGCAGAAATTGGTTGTTATTAGTAAGACTGTTACTAGTAGACTGTTACTAGTAAGAGCTTTTAAGAAATGATCGTAAAGATGTTGGATAGGTGCAATAAAAAGAAAAGAATATTAGAATTTAGATATCTGAAAGAATGCTGACTAATTTTTGCAGACCTAGTAGTCTGATTTGAAAATTAATCAACAAACCTAGCCTGATCCTTCATAAAAGCATTTTCATTTTTTGAGTTGAAGTAAATTGATTCTAGCAACTGCATCCCAAAAAATTAGAAAAGAAGTTGGATTTCTCTTTTGGACACAAAGGCCCACTGAATTCAGCTCAACACTGTGTTCTTTATTTTGGACTCCTCCTTTTCCTTAAAAGTGCAGAGAGCAACAGACCTGCACAAAGTCTGACAACACTATATCCCAAGTGGCACAAGGGATAAATTACCAACACTGCACAATCGCTGCAAATCTCCAGGTACAATGGCAAAACAACACGGTAATCATGCAGAAATTTCTTCTTTTAAATCCCACCAGCAATTAACCAGTAATACCGTTCATATCAGAGAAAAAAGAAACGCATGCTACTGGACCGCAGCTTTGGACCAGGGATTTGAAATCAATCTCATCAGACCCTGAGGACAATCCCTACAAAGCAGATGGACTCTAAAGGGTTGATAAAGCTGCTTCCTTTTTCTTAACTATGTTCTTTAGCCATCTTCTGAGGTTAAAAAAAAAACAAAGACATTTTAAGAGGAGCAGAGAGGCATGACATCATCTGCTCCTCATTTTAGCAGAAAGGCAACTGATTCCTGTACGTGTTCACTGCAGGAAGCTTTTGTGGCCAGAGCTGCCTCTTCTGATTTATCTATGTATCTGTAAATCACCTGTGGAGAGCAAAGAACCGATTAGTATGGATTACTGGAACTATTCATTGCAGAAATGCCAAGCCACCTAATGATGACTTATATTATAAGTCCTGCTGTTGGAATAAATCTGCTGTTCACCAATTAATGTTGTACGATTCCTATTAAATACATACTATAATTCACAAAATGTATTAATAAGCTTGCTCAAATATCGGACCACAGATGTGGCTCATGGGAGGGCTTTTAAGGTCTGATCTCTGACAAATGCTGAGCCTGCACAGACCCATTAAAATCACTGGAAAATGTATGTGCCAAGCACTATTTAGAATGAAGCTCTTTTACCACTCTCTGTATTTACACAGAAATCAACAATCTTCTGTATTGGACAGGATTCACACTGATAAATCAAGCAGGGTATCTTACCTTTCCTATTATTATGTATAAAATGCTTATTCTATGGATCCACACTGTATTCTGCAAGATATATCTAAACTGATATTTCTTCTCCAAAACAAGTTCCATACACCACTTCAGTTCTTTACCACATTACTGGTAATGTGTATTAAATTTCCTCCAAATCATTCTCCAAGAAATCTACCAAGAGCCATTTCAATCTGAAAACTCCTATGATAGGCTTCAGCAATCCACTATGACACAAATCAACTGAACTGCTTTTTACAGTAGTGAAATAACTAGGGTTAAATTTTACATACCTCACAATCTCATAATTAGGATCAGTGCCATAAAATTGTAAAATGGCTGTTCGTTCATGTTCTTCTTGCCTTACTTTCCAAAGTGAGTTGTTCAATAACTCTGAGGGCAATTTTTACATTATATCTCAATAAAATCTTTCTTAGGTCATCAAATATTATCAAAACAGATGATGCACAGTGATAGAAATAGTATCCAGACAGTAACCCTTAGGCAAGAAAAAAAACCCCAACTAGTTCAAAAGCTGCTAGAACTAAGCTGTTTTGACAAGGCAGCATCAGTGACTGAGTTTGAAAAAAAAACCTTCTAGATAAGATCCGTGTACAATGGAGAACAGACCAGCTGCCCAATAGCTGTCAACAGGCACAACTGTATAGCCCAAATTTCTATACAAACGTAACAAGTAAATACAGACAGTCTGAAGCGAGGAGAGAGAAATGCAATGTCCAGTCCCAATTAGTGCATTTGACAGTTATGTGTGCCAGTGTAAAACTAAAAGCAGCCTTTAATTTTTACCTATTAAAAATAAACCTGCATGTTTGAGGTAATGAAAGACAATGAGTTACAGTCATCAGTTTTGATGAATTGTGAAGGTTGTAATAAATTATGGTGTGGGAAGAGAAGGAGCTTTGTATGTTGTTCTAAAAGATGCAAAACTTCAGGAATTCTATAGGATTTCATAAGACTGCTGCGTCAATGAAAGTATGAAATTATTAACCACTACTAAGACTGATTTCCAACCCCTTTAAAACCTGGATCAAGTAAACCACATTAAGAGTAGTTGTTAAAAGCTTTGGTAAGGTTATTCTCCAAGACTTGTTTCTCCATCTTTCCTCCCATCACATTTACATGCTTTTCCTCCCACATATATTGTTCTATCGCTGTTTTTGACATGCCCATTTGGGTTTTTGTTTTTTGTTTGTTTTGTGGGGATAGTTACTATTTGATTCAGCTCAAAAATTGATATTCACAGAATCATTAAAGCAAATTAAATGGGAATGCACATGGTGGTGAAAGGGAATGGATTTAGCCTTAAGCCAATTGTAAAACAATAACCTGAGATGTCAGAAAGTGCCTAGAATCATTCAATCTCCAAGGATCTCAGAGGAGTTATATTTTGTGTTTAAACTGAAAATATTTTCAAGTTGATTCTAAATCAGAATTTTTCCACTTTTCAAATAAAAGGGAAGGAAGTATTTTTGAATGAATGAAGCATTTTGAAGCACTCAAAAATGCTGGAACTTTGTAAATACAAACACTTAATAAAATGCAGAAGTCCCACATTGAAACAGGAAAAATAAGTCAAGAATTCTCCTCTTTGTCTTCTCTTACCAAAAGTGTTTGTCAAATTCAAGAGTTACTTGCTTTCTAGAAGCAGCATTTGTCTAAAATAAACTATTTGGTCAAGTAAGATCATTTACCATAGCCAAAAAGCATGTGGACTTCGCAGCAGACTGCTGAAGAATACAAAAGTGAGGTCACAAGTCAGAAACTGGCAAAGAAAACAGGAAACAAGGGTCCACAACACTTGGACTTCAAAAACCAACTCAAGTGGTTTCATCTAAAGACTCCATCCATCTGTGAAGACTCCAGAGAAACTGGCTCTCTGACTAAAATACTAAATTAGCAAACAGACACTCACACTCTTTGGTAATATCATTGTCCAGATGGTCCTACATGTATATAGCTTCTGAAAATACCTACAGAGCAGGAAAGCAAGTCATATTCTGCACATCATTATATAATCATATTCACTTCCACATGACATGTCATTGATCACAAGGCAACCACTTTCAAAGGGAATAAATCCGAGGGATGATTTCAATGTCACCACTGCATTATTTCACAATAGAATCTTGCAAAGAAGTCAGTTAAGACTGCAATCAAAATGAAGACTAAGAGGGAAGGGAAAATGGTAAGCATCTACAAGGAAAACATACCAACTTATTTACTTAAAAAATACACTCTCTTCCTCACCAGCAGGAATTAGTATCTTCCTACAGCATCAACAAGCCTTGCATGGTTTCAAGAGTGATAGGGAGGCTGAGGGAAGAATAGGAGGAATAATGGGCAAGAGGGCTTTAGCCATGTAAGAGTAAGCAACAGAAACTTGATTCAGTAAAACATATTCTTAAAGCATTAAGATAAACCAGTGCCATAACACAGAGAGGATTTTCTTTTGTTCCTAAGACCAATAAAAAAGAGTATCTTATCTATAATTATGTACAGTTAGCCAAGTCAAGGATGATTTAAAACATTTGTTTGCTCTGTCATCTAAACAAGTGTCTCACTACATATTATTATTACTTGATCCACTGTTTCAGAAATCACTCACATCAGAGACCAGTGTAAGCAGTAGGTTGGCTAAAAGCTTTCCATATCCAGTGATGAGACTAGAAGCTCTGGAGTGTACCACAGCATAACTGCATGCCATGATAGGAAAGCCAAGGGGGTGGCAATTTTCCTTCCACTTCTCTAAGAAGTAAAAACTCCTCTTGCTGCTTTTTAAAATTCAGTCAACGTTTGTTTTGATTAGGGTAAAGGAAAACATCCTCTGCAATATGAATCTTTTCCTGAAGATATGTTTGTCTGCTGATAATAGAGTTCAGATATTTACCTGAAGATAAAGAGGCAGGCTTTCCTGAATGGCAGACAGCAAAGCCACAGGCAGCTCTTTGTCCTGCTGGAGCACAGAGTGTGGCAGCAATAAGCAATCCACAATGCGAAACAAGAGTTGCTGTGCCTTGGAAGTAGCCAGTATTGGTGCCCAGAACTTTACCAGACATCCTGTTTGGGGAAAAAAAAAAAAAAAAAAAAAAAAAAAAAAAAAAAAAAAAAAAAAAAAAAAAAAAAAAAAAAAAAAAAAAAAAAAAAAAAAAAAAAAAAAAAAAAAAAAATTCCAAAGCAATTTACGGTTAAGAAAAAAAAAAAAAAAAGAAAGCCTAAAGAGACACTTATATTAAATTAGATAATCTGAGAATAGCAGCAGCAACTGAAATGTCTCGCTCCCATGTACTCATTCCATGGCATCCCTTCAAAAAAACCAAAACAACTCCAAAAGTCCATCCAAAAAAAGTGCTAAATTGACTCAATACATTACAATTAGAAGTTTTTAAGCCAGTGAAGCTGCTTTAGGAAAAGTACAGCAATGCTAAAGAAAGGACAGTCTCTTACATCCCTGCAGAAAACAACTAAACTTGGTCCGTAACACCATTGCAATCAGCCCACATGCACCTAAACATTTACCTTGCTGTGTGCATTCATCCCATTTCAGAGAGATATGCTGCCTTTGCCTTCCCACTACATTTATCTAACACCCCTGTGGCCAAATCAGCAACTACTCGCTCGGGAATTGAATGTTAGGAAAACATTAAATATCCTTCAAATTGTATTTAATTCCAGCAGATTAAAAAGAATAAGGGGCAGCCAACTCCATTAAACCAGCATGGTCTCACCAGATCTTTGTGGGCTTTCAGTTCACTAAGAGCCTCAGACAATATCTTTTTTGTTTTCAACACATCAATGTATCACTTGCACAGCTCTGAGCCAGTTTTAAGATCTTTAAAACAAAACAAAACAAAAAACTAAAAAGGTGTTGATGTGTAAATACCCTAACTCTGAGAAACATCTTTATTGAAGGTGAGGTGTAATTTTTCTTGAGAAAATAACTATACTCCAGAGTGTTGATACTCAAAACACACACTAAATAAAACAAGATTTCTACGTAGGGGTTCCAGACATTCTGAACTTTACATTTAATTAGAGGCAAGGAAAAGTTTCCTGGGTTGAAAATATGGGAATATCCCAAGAAAACATGTTTAAGACTTTGAAAATAATGAAAAATCAAAAGTAGGCTGTTACAAGATATTATTAATCTATAAAAGTCATTCATTACCATCTCTAAAAACAACGCAAAACAACATTAATCTTGTGGAGTGAAAGAAAACACAATGATCAATCATAGAGAAAGAGAACGATCACCTAACAATACTTCTAATAATGTTGTCTAAGCTTCCTGCTTTGAAAGAAACATGGTCATTCCAGCTAAAGTACTCCTTCTATTATCGCTCCTGTGATGTATGGGACAGTACAAGACACAAT